TGAAAAAATCATAACTGGTTTCCTGTGGGTACTTTTTTCCCGAAATTATGTTCTACTGGAAAGTACAATATCAACATCTATGGCACCTCATGTAATAATGGTACAGAAAAAAACTTACCCCAAACCCCATGGAGCTAATACAATCTTGAAAGCCTCCACAGAGCAGCTCTGGAAGTACTTCTCGACTGTAGTAGGATTCCTCCTGCTGCATAAACCAGTCCCTTGGGTAACCAAAATATTGTGTACATCTGTGTGTAGAAATTCACCGTATTAATGAAGCCAAGAACCACATACTGGTATGGTGAGGGCTAAAACTTAGAGAATTACTTGTTGCAGGCAGTAATAAGTCACAGTCAGTCCATTTGAGCCTATGGTGTTCCATGAAATGGAGTGGGAATAACTGTGCAACTGGATTTAGGACCTAGAGGGTTTGAGCTGTATGGTTGACTCAGTACCAAAACAACCACGGTCCCAGTTTCCTTCCATTTACCTAAACCTCCAGGTTTTGTAATTCACATGAGTCTAAACTTATTTTTGACATGGTTTCCATGTATCCTTTGATATTTCAAAACGTTTGGGGTTTGGTTTCAGTTCTTAATTCACTTTTTTTTTTTTTTTTTTTGAAAGGCTGATTTTTATAGCTCTGTGTGGAAGACCTGAATTTTTACAATGTTGTCACAATCATGAGACACCTTGAAGTAAATGTGTAATTACAGATTATTTTGACAAAGTAGGAATACACCATATTCCTAACATATATCGAGTGATAGAAATGAAAGATATATTTGATTTGGAGCTGATACTGGATATAACGGTAGGCATAATAAAATTAATATTGACTAGAAATGTGTATGTCTTATGCCATATAATTTGCATCATTTAAAGTAAGTTTATTGTGATACTTCACTATTGGATAAACAGTTATTATACCATTGCAATAGATTTGCTGAATCCTATAATAGGTTGCTCATTTTCTTTTTTTCCAAATATGAAATTTTTTCCTCCTCAGAAAAAGGGGCTAATACATTCATGTGGGAAAGATATTTTTAAAGTTAATTAGCAGCTCTTTTTTTAAGAAAAAAATTATGGGAGCATAATCTCAGAGCAACATATTATCAAGGACAATAAGATTGGTCACCTTATGAAAAAAAATTCCAGAGAAGCCCAAAAAATTTGTTTCAACAGTAAAAGAGGTTGTCCTTAAAATGGTGAAAAACCCCCTTAAACACAATCCTGAAATCACATACCCCTCAAAATTAGAAATAATTTTTATATAACAAAGAATTCTAAATTCTTGACCCAACTTGTATTTTGTTTGAAAAATTTGGCTGTTACTTTTAATTTTGTTCTTAACTTTTAGATTCTCACTTGTTAGAGTGCTAGACACAGGTTTCCACATTTATTTGGTTTTATTGTTACATACTCTATGTTATTAAATTTCATACAGGACTGTGTACCTATGCCTACTAGCTCTCCTCCTAGTTTCTGACTAGATATACCTGTAATACATTCATCTGTACATGCAGTTTTAGCTATTTCTGCAACCTTTATGCTCTTCTTAATTTAAGCTTTCTTTAATTCAAGCTTTTCTCCTGGTAGCTTCCTAAAATATTTTGAGGAAGCCAAGGCTTTTGTGAAGTAACTGAAGAATAGCATAAGTAAAGTAAAATGCTTGATTTTCCATATTGCTCTGTTTCAATTGTCCATTGGGAAAAATAATTCCTCATAACCTTTGTTAAATCACTGTTAAATTAAAATAAGGTGGAGTAGTCTATTCACTTGATAAGAAGAGATGTATTCTGATTCTGGAAAACTACAGATTCCTAAGAGTGTAAATCTCTCAAGTCATTGAAACTCAAAGCAAGGACGAGGGATACAAAGTCCCATTCATCGTAAGTTAAGATCAGATTCAAAAGCACTTGAGGAACCTGACACAAACAGATGCCTCCTAGGGTCCTGAGGGAATTAACTGAGGTAGTTGCCACTTTTCATGAAATTTGAAAAGTCATGGGCACCAGGCAAAGTCCCAGTGCCGGGAAAAAGGGAAAGAGCATACCCATTTTTAAGCAGGGTAAAAAAGAAGGACCCTGTGAACCACTAAGCAATCATTATCACTTTTGTACCTGGTAAAATGATGGAACTCATCGTCTTGGAAGTTATTTCAAGGCATGTGGAAGACAGGGAGATGATTTGAGACAGCCAACATGGCTTAACCAATACAGATGCCTTATTAATCTAGTAACCTTTTGTGATGGAGTGTCTGCAACAGTGGACAACACAAGAGTTACAAATCCCATCTACCTGAACTTCTGTAAGGCCTTTGGAATGGTCCCACACAACATCCTTGATGCCACATTGGAGAGATATGTGTTTGGTGGATGAGCTGTTGAATGGATGAGTTAGCTGGATGGCCATGTCCAAAGTCTTATGGTCAGTAACCAAATGCCCAAGTGGAAAGCAGTGGCATGTGTTGTCCCTCTGGGGCCTGTAATCTATTTAGATGCAGTGGGGTTGAGTGCACCCTCAGCAAGTTTGTGGCTGATACCAAGCTGAGTAGTCAAATATGCTTGAGGTAAGAGATTTCAAGAAGAACCTGATAGCCTTGAGTGGTGGCCGTCATTCACTTAAAAAAGGCCAAGTGCATGATCCTACACCTGTGTTGGGTCAGTCCTCAGGGACAATACAGATTGGTGGATGGACAGATTGAGAGCAGCCAAACAGAAAAATACTTAGGGACATAAGTGGATGAAAAATTGAACATGAGCCAGCAGTGGGCTCTTGCAACCTAGAAAGACAATCCCTTCCTGGGCTGCATCAAAAGAAGCATGATGGGCAAGATGAAGGCCTACTCCATTTTTGTGGGATGCTACATGGAGTACTGCATCGAGCTCTGGGGGCTCCAGTACCAGATAGTGTTCCAAAGGAGGACCATGAAAATTGTCAGAGGGCTGGAACATCTCTCCTACAAAGATAGGACGAGAGAGTTGGGGTTGTTCAACCTGGAGAAGACTGCGGATTCTTTCACAGTACAAAGAATGTGAGAGAGACATTAAAGCAATACCACAAGGGGAGAGACAAGAGAGACATTGAAGTAACATCACAAGGGGAATAGTTTTAAACTGAAAAAGGGTAGGTATAGATTGGACACAAGAAAGATTATTTTTATTATGAGGGTGGTAAGTAATGGGAACAGGTTGCCCGAAGAAGTTATGGATATTCCATCTGTGAAAGTGTTCAAGTCCAGGGTGGACAGAACTCTGAGAAACTTGGTCTAGAGTAAGCTATCCCTGCTCATGTCAGGATCATTGGAAAGTAGGTGATTATTGAATGTCTCTTCCAATCTAAATAGTTCTACAATTCTATGATTCTATGAAATGTTCAAAGCATATTAAGCAGAAGACCATAGTAAACAACTGGGCATGGAAGAGGAATGAATAAGATAAGTGGGTAGGAGTGAAGCCTTGAAAAAAATATTTGCTTGCTTGGTCTGGTGAATACATTTACTTTTGAAGAACATTATGTATCACTTTCAGTATAGAGTATAGACTAATGTAATCTTGTGAGGTTTTATTAAGAAAAGTGGAGTAACCCCACCATAAGCTAAAGAATATGGAAAATATAAAGAAAAAAAAAACCAAAAAACCAACCTGGTTCTTGAAATAAAATTACATATATCAAATGCTTAATGAGTTTTACTTTGGTTTACACATGCTCTGTTTCCTTTTTCTTATCCTCATGTGAAAATGGCCAGCCAGAAAAAAATATTTCATTCTGTGCCCCAAATGGTTTTATGAAAATAGGAATCACACTCGTCTGGCATTCACTTTATGCCTGATGATGTTGCACACATAAAATGAAACCTCAATACCCTTGCAGTAGAGGGGACCTTGACCATAGGTTTGAAACAATATGTAGTCTTCATATCTCCATCTAGGAAGCCTAATGAAAAACTGGCATTGCTGGACCTCAGATTTTAATCTACTGAATCAGAGAAATCGATCTCCTTCACATTGGATGCTATTCATCACAAGGAAATCTGGTTTCAACACAGACATTATGATGTGCAGAAGGAGTTTGTATGTAGTACAGACATGTTTGTACTCTATATGTTGAAGCAGAACAGTTGTAGAGGACTTCATTCACCCACTGTAGGTACCTACCTGTGTGTACAGGTGGGTAGGGCAAAAAGTAGGTGGCTGTGAAGGTGTGAGTAGCAATCTTAGATAACACATTTGTGAGGAAACTGTGAGACGTCTGGTTTATTTCCTCACCATATTTACAGCTCAGATTGTTACAAATGACATTTTATTTTCATTTCTGATTTGCTGCAGTACCTTAAATTAGATTAATTGAATTTTTATTCAGGTTATCAGGAGGGTCAGCATTGATTTCCACAGACAGGTTGTTGTTGTTATCCAAAATAGTTCCTAAAACATTTGAAATCGGACTTGTAAACATCTCTGCACTCACCTCTTTGAACTGTGGTTTGGTTACCAATCCTTTTTGAGAAGAACTGATCCCTGTGCAACCAGATGGGCATGTACCTACCACCAATTCACACCCTCATTGATATCCCATAAGCAATAAAGGAACATGTATTTTTATAGATGTTGCACCATTGAAATTTGACGTACATCTTCTAAAAATTAAATGCTCTTTTGTGGATATTATTTTTCATTTCTTCTAATTGTATCCCCTTTGTAAAGGATCTAAGCTAAACAGCTGTAAAGTACTATTGCTGTGTTATACAGCACAGTCTGGAAAACCAGTTGAATGTAAGGAAATTACCTCAATCGTTATAGTTTTATATATGGCAATTTATGAAATAGGTAACTGCAGTCCAGGCCAGAACATAAGTGGTTGGGCTTTTTAAACTATTTTCTTCTTGTTTTGAAAAGAAATTTGTTTAAATTTAAGCATTATTTAAAGTTATTATTCCCCCCAACACCTTGGATTTAATTTCAGTCACAAAACCCTGACCCAAAAAGTCAGACTCACTGTTTGCATCTTTAAATTTATTCTTAGTAGAGCATTATTGTTAGTCTTTTTTTCACAATGTTCAACAGTTTCTCCTGTCATTTTGAAAACAAGTTTTTTCTGTGAGTCATTGTAATAAATTATTTCATCAAAGTTCTCCGTAAAAAATTAAAGATAGTAGTTGCTTAACTAAAGTTGCTATAATAATACAATATGTAATATATTATTACAATTTACAGCTTTTTTTTTCTTTTCTTTTTTTTTTTTTTTTTTTTTTTTTTCTGACAGGACCACATAGCCCTCTTTTCAATGCTAAGAATCATAGGACATTCCATATTGTTAAAAAACACTGATGCCAGTTTAGCCCATTTCAAATAAAATCCAGTCCTTAACTCTGAAGAAAGAAAATAAAAACAAATAACAAAGAAAAGAAAAAAGAAGATTAAACACAGTTAAATAAATCTATTTTTAACATGAGTTTTCTGTCATACAATTTGGAAGGAACAGAAGAGTAGAATAATTTTAATTGCAAATCTTTTAACAGAAACATATAATTTTTAGCTGCATAGTTCAATCTGAATCTTTAAAGGCCAAAAATCTGGTTTTGGACAAAACAAAGGGAAACAAGTGAAACCAAGCAGCTTCTGAACAGCTACATAAATAAATTGTCATTAAGGGTTAATGAAAAAAACCAAATATTATCAGAATTTTTAAATTTTATTTTCACTCATGGGAGTGAAATATTATAAATCTTTTTCAGTCTTTCTCCTTGTATTTATAATCCTGTGTAAGTTTTTGCATATTCAAACCCTGAATGAAACTTGTTAGAGTTCAGAAAAAGAAAGGTCTATCAAATCAAAGCTCAAAGCTTTGGCTCAACATGACTTTTGCATAGAGCTGCAGCTAATTTGACCAAACCCTTGGACAAACCTTGGGAACATTTCAATCTTTCAGCTGATCACATGTTTATTTATCTTATCCATGTGAGTTTATCTGTGCTCAAAGGGACCTTGGGCTTTTCAAATCCTCCCTGAAGTCCATGAAAGGACTTGCTCTGAAACTGGCAGATTTTGATCCATGGCATTAATACTAGTTCCATCTAAATGAAAAGCATGAGTCCCATTGAATTCAGTGAACCTATGGACTAATGGTGAATAGGAAATGATGTGAGAACATCTCTCTGTGGATAAAAAAAAAATATTTTTTTATTATTTGTTTTGTGGTTTTTCATTATTTTTTTCTGTTTCTTATTCTACACGTATAGGAAATGTGAAATAGGAGAATTTTACCTCTTACCAAATGTACTTAATTTTTCAGAGGGCTACCAAGGCAAAATTATGTCCTAGTTCAGATTGGTGACACTGTCAGAGAAAGGGAAATGTGGAGGGAGGGAAGGAGAAAGACAATTCTTTTTTCTTTTGCCCTTGTTTTTACTGTTTTTCTACAAAACTATCAACAACTAGTGACTATTTTTCTTATTTATTAAGGTATGATATCTTCCAACTTATGTAGCTGCTCTGCCTTTTTTCAGAGTTTGCCTAGAAAACTGAATAGTAGCTTACAATAGTTAAGTGCCACTGCCACATAGGAACTTGGTCTTGTAAAGTGCTAGGTGCCCTTCATCATCAAATGAAAGAAGGAGAACTGAGCACACTTGAATTCCCTGTGGAAATTATAATGAAGGCTGTCAAAATTACATAATGCTACCAGATATTCTATCAACATTCCTCAGAGGAGGAAAAGAGCATCTCTTGCCTATACGTGTGTAGTAACCAGAATTTTGTACATTTGTACTAGACCAATTATTAGTTCATTTATTTGTGTCCACTGGAAAAACACTAGAAAAAAAAACAAAATTAATTTCTCTTTCTCATTCAATAAGAGTAGTCTGCTGATTAGAGAAGGACTGATTGGCGGTCACGGAAAACTCATTCACTGCATTCTAGATGGTATCATGTTGCCACTTCATCCTACACTGCATTTCATACAAAAAAGCTGGTGGAGGAGCCTGTCTAGTAAAAAACTTTCAGAAATGTGAATTCCAGGTAGATGTAGGAACTTCCTGGATGCTCTGAGAATGAGCCCAAGAGAGCAGGAGTAAAACAGGGTTATCCCATTCTGTGAAGAACACTGGCTTAAGTAGCACCTTCCTCAGGAGGTTCTTGGTTTGTATCACCAGTTCCTACTGTGTGTTATGCTTCATCCACCTTAATTCAGAGTTATATATCTGCCACTTATAAGACACATAAAATGTTGGTGCTGCAATGCTCAGTGTTGTCCTGACTAAATATACATTCAAATACTTGTAGTGATCTATGAAAATAAATCCCTCTGCTGCCTGATTTATCCCTTCTTCTGTCTTCAATTTCCCCCACTGCTAAAGACTCCATGGAAAGGTTTCTATGTCTTTGTTACAGTTGTCCCAGCTGGCATTCTAATCTTCATCCAGCTGCCCTTCTGGCGTGGGACATCACATCTTCTTTTATCTTGTCCTACCAGGGACAAAAAGTCCTGGCAAAATCATGCACGGGGTCAGCTGGGAGGAGTGTCTTAACTATTGCAGAGAGATTTGACAAAAACTGGTTGATAAATCCCTTCTTCTGAGATAGTTCTCAGTGTGAAAATAGCAAAAGGGTCTAGAGGTGTATGCAGCTGGCTTGCTCAGAGGGGTTGCACCAAAGCATGCTTATTATGTTTATCCTGTTTCAGCTGTTTGGGGTGTTCCGTGCACATACAGCACCTAAATCACAGTAGTGTTTCCTCTGACTTGTGAAATGACCCTGTGACTGAGGCTGAAGGGGTAAGCAGGCCATGCAGAAGGTGTAAGCACATGCCCCTCAGAAGAGGAAACTGGGTCACTTCATGTGCATCCAAGAGATGAACACAGTGTGAGGAGAGAAGGAGAGCCTAGAGTTTGGACTGAAATGCTGAAGCAGAGGCAGCACTTTGAGTGCAGACTGTCCTTTAGGACCCATGACTGAGACGGCCTGAGTCACCAACAGCCACTGGAACTGCTGGGATGAGGTCTGAGCTGGGATCTTCCTGTGTAACTCAATGATTTCAAGGAGAAGTTCAAAAAAATAACTAAACTCATAGGAGACAGTATGTGGAAAAAATAACCAAACATGTCCCTTTTGCCCAAATTATTTACTTCTTTATTATAAAATCTATTTCTACAGCTGAAATTCTACCTGGAAATTCACACTCCATAGTAAGGAATATAAATACAGCAATTTTGCTCTATTTTTTATAGGTCTTATCCTTTGGCATTTTTGTTCTACAGTATGCTGTATTTTTAATAATTGTAGAGAACATATATTTTTGTCCCTCTTTTTTGAAATAGGTCTATTTCTATATAGTTCTACGCCTACATATGCATCTTTTTTTTTCTTTTTTTTCTTTTTTTTTTAATCTCAATTGTATTTTTAAGAATTATAACTGTTTCTCGGATGGATTTTCTAAGTTGGCTAAGCCTTTGTTTTTTTTTTTTATTTTCTCCAGAATGACAGTAGTTCTCTCTCTCTCCTTTTCCTCCAGGGAGACATCAAGCTTGTTACCATTTGAAAAAATACTGTTAAGTATTGGACACATAGAGGTGTTCAGTAATGTAATTCTCATGGTTGCTGTAGGAAATATTGGCAAATTATATCCCTCAGTTGATATAGTTTGTGCTCCAGTCCTATTTCTCATAAAATCATCTAGCTTTAATGAGAATTATCATACTCAGAACTAGACATATTATTTTTCCCAAGCTTTTCTAAAAGACTGCTGACAGCTGCTGAAAGATGACAGTCTCTTATTACCTCACAAGCTATTTAATTTCTTCTCCACAATGACAAAGTTTCTGGTAGTTTGTCCTCCGTGCTTATAGCTGAATTTTGAAACCACTCCTTCACCAAACTAATATGAGTAGACAATAATAATAAAAAAAGACCATTCACCATTAATATGCTTTTGCCAATTTCTTGTCAAGACTTGGCTAGGGCTGAACCCAGAGATCGATTTATGCCCTATGCCCATGAGCAATTCCTGAGTAGAGATTATGGGATAGCAAATTAAGACGTATATGCTACCATGATTTTTTTTGTGGGTGCATGCCTTTACCTGTACCAAGGCTCACTGAAGTCAGCATGACTCTGAGCCCAGCTGGAAGCCTGCCTGGGCAGGGCTTATCATGGGGCTGTGGCACTGATGGGACATACTGTGAAAGCTGAAGTAAGGACCAGGCACCTTCACAGACTCCTTGTTTAGATGAGTCTTCACATGTATCTTGAATTTTCCTAAAAACTAGGTCTACTCCACAAATTAGTTTTGCTTGTGCTTTGAATAATCTCTCAAGACAGGTTTCACTGCGTAACTTTGTGTGCATGTACTATCTTCAGCTCTCATGGTAGGCAGGTATCTTCTGTGCAGAGAGGCAAATCTTGCAAAAAGGACATTCATTATCATAAATGCAGAGAGAGCAGAAGACAATGCTTTGTCCCTCACTCTTTAATAGAAGAGTATAACTATATAAGATGAGAGTCACAACGTGTACCAGATGACACCTGCTATTTCTGCTGTTTGAAATACACCTCTCATTCTTTTATTCTTTCTTCTTTAAGCATGCAGAATAAAATTATTTTTATCTCTCAAGAAGAAATATCTTTGTTTTGTTTGTAACTATTGTTCCACAGAGTCTTTGGCAGCTGATGGCTTGGTTTCATAATTTATAGAACTAAAACTTAATCCCAACATTTTGTTGTTTTTTTGTCTTTAAATTATGGTGGACAGAAGGATAGCCTTCACCTGCTATATTAAAAAAAAAAAAAAAAAAAGAAAAAAGAAAAAAGATACTGTCTCTTTAATGAAAGAAAAGCAACAATATACTGTATTACTGAATGCAAGTGCAATAAGGAATAACATATAGCTCTGGTTATGTTATATGACATTTGGCTTAGCAGTATTAACATATTGCACAAAATCTGCATTTTCCCTACTGTAGAAAATAAGACGATAAAAGACATGGGAAATTAATTTCTTCCATATGATCATAAAATAAATATTTTTTCTTTTTCTTCTCATCAGTCATTTGCAGAAAGATTTTAGTGTTACTTCTTTGTTAAGCCAGCTCTTTATCATGTATGTATTAGGCATACAGTACAAGGAGAAATGGAACAAGATGGCAGTTATAGCAGTGGCAAGATGCAAATTTATTCTGAAAAAAAGTAATATGTGCACAATATCAAGCATGCTTAAGTTTGTGCCAGGAAAACTATTACGAATGAAGAATGGATGGGATGGAATTCTGCATCATACATGATTACATGTTGCTTAACTTCATAGAAGAGTCTTTGTCTACTCCTGATGTCCCAGGTGCCACCAAGAGAAGCTGCTTACCACACTGCTAGAGTGAAAATGGCAACAGATACCCCAGCAGTATTCCACTGCAATGTGACTCTTGGTTTCAGAAATTAAAGAAACAGACCTCAAAAAGATGACAGAGAAAATTCACAGACCATTGAACTGCAGGCACTAACTCCAGGTAGGGAGAGGGGGATGAATTTATTACATCTTGTATTTGGAATTGAAAGTCTATAATTGTTTTCTGCTTCATTTTCCCCAAGTTTAATTAGGCTACATTATGTATGTGATGTTGTCACTGTTTTTCCTCCTGTCTCTCTCATATTGTATGACACATGATTGAGTGTAGCCAAGCAGTGGAGGAGTAATTTTTCACTGACACCACTTGAAAACATTTTTATAGAAAAATGAGGGATGAATAATGAAGAAGAGCAAAAAAGAAGAAATAAAATACCTTAAAGATAGATCTCTACATTAATTCACTATGAAGCAAAAGAGAAATAATAAAAACTTTTCTTCAGATGCCGATTTAATCAAGATGAATCAGACTAGGTGCTGTATTGGTACTGTGTAAAAATAGATGACAGTGAGTAATGGTGTGAACAAAAAACCATGAGGAACATCACAAAAATGGATGTTGGATGGCCTTTGCACAGCAGAGGTAGATAAAGGTTATAACAAACTGTTTACTGACCATATACACTTACTAGAATTAAGAGGTCAGTTGAACAAGAGCTCACCTAGTAAGAGCTTTCTCAGTAGTGTGACTTATCAGCTGTTGTACAGTACCAGAGCACTGCCCAGTTATTGCTCCATCACTTTTCAGTAACATTTCTGTCCTTCAAAAGTCTACATTCTACCATTAGTTAAGGCTTTTTCTTTTGCATTTCTACATTTCCCCCCAATTTTGCATCAACTCACTGCAATTAATACATGTGCCTCTAAAAGAAAATAAAATAAATAAAAAAGCACCATGTTTTATTGAACAAAATATAGCATGTGCAAGGAAGGGAAGGGAGGAATTATAGAAACAAACCAGTGCTGAAGAATTTTGCATTAGCTGGTGCTTTTTGTTGTCGTATTTGCACAGATCATTTTAGGCTCCTCAGTCCAGGTTGTAGCAAAACACTATCAAAACAAATACTCTTGCAAAATATTTGAGCTTCGCAGCTTAACATTTGCATCTTGAACCGCTTAAGCAGCATGGTTATCTTCTTTTTGTTTTTCTCCAGAATTTAACAGACCGTAAATTGTATACAAAAACGCATTATGCACCAGTGATTAAATGTTCTTACAACATTAATATTTATCAAGGGGTATTTCATAGCTAGAAAGTAGGTAACTATATTTTATTTTCTAAGAGAACATTTTCTATAGTTTTCCTTCATTTCCCAGCTACACAGCAAACATCTCTAAAGTGCACTTCCCAAGTGTAGTTAGAGAATAGGAAGGAATGTAAAGTTTTTAAAAACAGCCCTTATTAACTTTTCCTTCCATTGATTCTACTGTAAACTCTAAAAAGCCTTTTTAAAAAGCAAATTCTCATACACTCAGCAGGTGAAATGTTCCCACAAAAAATAAAAGTAAACAAATTCAAAACCACCCCAAACAATGAAAAACCAGCATATTACAATCTTTTCTCTTGACTACTCATATCCTAGTATATATTTACTGTTTTTATTGCACATTTATGAAAACGGTTGTCCTATATATTAAAAAAAAATAGTTTCTTTATCTGTGCTAACACATTCTTGTGCATTCTTAATAAACTAGTTACTTTCAACAATATGTAGGTAATAGAAAAACAATGGAATCAAACCAAGGAGATAATTTGTATTGTAGATGTTAAAAGACTTCTAGTGTAATTCAGTTGCAAAAAAAATAGTTGAATTTTGGAAGTTCTTGGCTCCCATTTTTTATGGAAAGCTGCTGGTTGTGTGACAGCAGGAGAACTCAAAATATGATTCACAATGAATGTCAATCCTTCACCTCCAATATGAAGGCTTCCCAACTATTCAACTTGCTGAGCATAACTGGTTTTACTTAACATATCTAGAAAAGGCTGCTCCTGTTCAACTGACCAGTGAGAAAGGACTGGACTTCTTCAAAACGGGTATTAGAGCAACAGTTTGTTATATAGTTCTTTATACTTTTTAACTGTCCGATCCCACCTTGTAAGGAGAGCACTTGTTTGTTCAGCTAAAAGGAACCCCCTTCATGCTCCTTTTGGGTTTGCTCAGTCAACTGTTTTGTGCAACAGTGGCAGAGGCACACTGGAATTGTGTACCCATTCATTGTGATTACACAGACAGAAGCAAATGTGTGTTGTCTGTGACGGTAGATGGGAAAGGGAAAGGAGATGAATGGTTCCCATGGATAAGAGGACAGTAAGGTTTGTTTGGGGTTCTTCTTGTGGTTGCTTTATATTTTTTCTTTTCTTTTTCTTATTATTTTATCTTTTTTGGTTAAATTTTGTTTTGTTGTTATTTTTGTGGGTTTTCATTGGGGTTTTTTGTGGGCTTTTTTGTTTTTTTTTCTGTTTTTTTCTTTTTTTTTCCTTTTTTTTCCTTTTTTTTTTTTTTTTTTTTTTTTTGCTATGTCATGAAATCATAGCAGTCATTCCTCTAATAGAAACTGACAGGACATAAAAGACAGAACTATCAGATGAACACACACAATGACTAGAAATATATCGACAGAGAAAAGACTTAATTTAGCTTTGAGAAACCGTCCCAAAAATAAAATCCTGTATTAACAAGTGCAAAAAACCAAACAAACAAAAAAAAGAAACTCCAAACATTAAAACACAGTGTATAAAATGGTGTGAGAAAGTTAAGTCACCAAACAGCCTTTTAGTCAATAAAAAGCTGTGTTTGTGTGTCCTTGTTGTTTGGGTAGAGGCCCATTCTTTTCATTTTACCCAAAAGGTCTTTCAAGAAGAGCTCTGAGGGTAAAGCACTCAGTCCTTGCTATTTTTGACTGTAGTAATTTGGGCCTGTTGTGTTTCTATCATGTAAGATGAATCCTTTCTTTTATTCTTCATTGGCTGAATTATCTTCCAAAGTTGTTATGCTTCCAAAGCCCAGTCCTGTTGAGTTCTGTGCTGCTGAGACTGTAAGTACTGTATGTAAGAGAATTAATACAAGAACACACAGTTTAAGTCTGCTGTTACACAGTCTTGATGCTGATGAAACTGTGAGCGATGTCCTGTGACACATTGTTGAGCCGCTTGTTTTTATAGTCCCTTTGGGTTGATGATCTGATAATAGTCCCCATCTGACATCACAGCATTCTGGTTCTGCATTGGTTGGATAGTTTTCATAGAGCCCTGTAGGGTAAACACAAAGGAAAAATAAATACCAGGCACAAAGATTGGCAGAAATAGTAGCTTGAAGGAACAGCTGACATTTGGTCTAAGCAGCTGAATCCATATCTTTGGGTGAGACTGAGGCCCTCAGAAGTTCTGTCATTCTGTCTAACTAGAGATGTTGAACAGGAAGCAGCATCAAAAGATCATTCAGCAGAAGTATGACACTGAGCATGATTGTGTAATGAAGCAACATTAAAGAGCAATTGATATTTGAGTGATAAGGATGTTCTTCCTTTTTGGGAAGAAACAACCAATGATGAAGTAAGAACTAATCAACCAGGATGTTTCCACAAAATTTGGACCTCGAAATTCTTCCTTCAGTATGTGAGCACATAAAGACAGGCATGAAATAACAAATAAAGATGTACTGATGATATTGGCTATTTTGATTTTCAAACCTATGTAAATTAAACTTCATTACAGGAACAGATTCCAAACAGAGCTGTTCAGAACCTGTTTGTTTATCCTACCTCATCTGAGTTCTTCCAGCTGGATATTGCCTTCAACACATCCCAGAGGTGAAAACAATCTGTCCTTGCCACACAATGATTTGATTTCTTGATGTTTGTGATTATACAGACATGCCATTTTTACATTTGAACTTTACTGAGTTCAAATGATCTGATTATGACTTTTTGAACACTAAGAGGAACTGTATGTTTTTGGAAATTGCAAGTGTTCTCTGCATTACTATATAGAAGATTAACATAAACAGAGTGTTCTGTTTGCTTCACACATACCTTTTCCTCTGGTAGCTTAAAATAAGTGAATTTGGCTATTTAACTAGTGTTCAAATGCAAGAATACCTAACATAATGGACAAACATCTTTTCTCCTTTTAAGCTGATCTTAGATTAAATTCTGCAGTAAATAATATACTCTGTGGTAGAACTAGGTTTTTCTAGGAAAAAAAAAATCTATCTGTGATGAAATATTAGGATAGTGATTTTGAAAGCAGCTTTATTTTTTGGAACAATAATTACATTTTCTCCAAAATATCACAACAACAATATTACTTTGGAACAGCAATTTAGGTGTAACATTCTGAGGCCCAGGTATCAGATTTCTTGCACTTTGTGAATAATCTGTAAAGAAAAGCAGTACACCTTATGACATGATAAACCTGAATCCTTTGGTTCCTGCTTCCATAGACAAAAAAAGTGTTAGGTATGTTAAGATGCCCAGGTTGACGCATTTTTACATAGTTGACACAATTTTCTCCTATGTTGTATCTGAGTCCAAACAAAGCTCTATTTTTTTTCTGGATTTAACCACAGTTTTAAAGATACGGCAATGAAAGCAATTTGTTTCATGTTCTGCAAATTCAGAGTTTATCCTATGCTAAACCTGACCAATTTTTCCACTTCTGCAGTCAGAAACTTAATGCAGCACTCCAAAGGTTGAAAATTATTTCTTCTCACTCTGGATCATAGCTGGAAGAATAACATTTTTATTTGAGAAAATCTATTGCATTTTTCTGGGAAATTGTTCACTGAAGGTGTAATAAAACAGTCTTATTTTCTGAGACCTGTTTTTAAACATTGCAACATACAGGCAATGCCTCCCAGAGCAGGGAATTATGATTTGTTCTGTGAACTGCAGCATCTCAAACGATTAGTAGTAATTGAAGAGAGACAGAGAACGGTTAATGCTTTGATCCCACTGAGGCTTGTTTACTTTTTAAACTATATTTTCTGCTTTTCTTGTTACTGGAAAACCCAGACGTTCTTTGAAATCAAAGCTATGCATATAAGTGGGCAATCAAAAGGTACTTAAATAGCTCATATGCACTTACTGAATTATAAATAAATTAATGACTCTACGTTCAAAGATGAATTGAACTTTTTCCTTAATGTAAAATCACATTTCTTCTTTATTTCAACTCAGCAATTGAATTTAAGTTTTGAATTTGCAGTTACATATTAAATAAACAATTAACTACAGAGCCACTATTCATCTGATAGTGTAGAAGATTAAGATGAATTCAGTAAGACCTTTTGTACTGAACTCATGTTCTTCACAACATACTTGTTTGTATCCATAAATATAAGCTTTTGTCCCTTGTATCTAATTAGTCCATCTATTAAGTCAGAGGTTTACAAATGTGTGATTGATCTAGAAATCCAGGTAAGCTGGCTACATCTCTTTGGAAAATCAAGGAGAAAAAACCAGTTTGTTCTTTTATCAAAATAGTCATAGAATCATAGAATGGCTTGGGTTGGATAGGACCTTAAAGATTATCTAGTTTCAACCTCCCTGCTGTGTGCAGGGATACCTTCCCCTAGACCAGGTTGCTCAAAGCCACATCCAACTTGGTTTTGAACACTTCCAGGGACGTGGAGTCCATGGCTTTGGTGGGTAACCTGTTCCAGTTCCTCACCACCCTCATGGTAAAGAATTTCTTCCTAAAAATTCCTTCCTAATATCTGATCTAAACCTGCTCTTTCAGTTTGAAACAATTCCCCTTGTCATATCATCATTCAGTATTTTAAAAAAGTCTTTCTCCACCTTTCTTGCAGTCTCATTTCAAATACTGGAAAGCCACAATTAGGTCAGCCAAAGCCTTTTCTTTTCCAGGGTGAAAAACCATGTTTCTCTTAATCTTTCCTCACAGGAAAAGTGCTCCATTCCTTTGATGAGGAGGTGCCCGTCCTCTGGACTTGTTCCAACAGGTTGATGTCCTTTCTGTGCTGAGGACCCCAGAGCTGGATGCAGTATTGTAGGCGAGATCTCATTAGAGCAAAGTAGAGGGGCAGTGTCACTTCCTTTGCCCTGCTGGCCATGCTGCTTTTGATGCACATTTGGCTTTCTGAGCTGTGAGTGCACATTGCTGGATCGTGTCCAGCCTCTCATCTGCCAGAACCCCTAAGTCCTTCTGGGCAGGGCTGCTCTTGATCTGTTCATCCCCAGCCAGTTTTTACATCATGGGTTGCCTTGATCCAAGTACCTTGTACTTGGTCTTGTTAAACCTCATGGGATTCCCATGGGCCCACTTCTTCAGCTTGCCTAGGTCCTTCTGGATCCCATCCTTCATATATGTCAACCACTCCACTTATCTTGGTATCATCTGCAAATTTACTAAGGGGGAACTTGATCTCTTTATTGAGAAAGATATTAAATGACACTTCATTGTAGAAGACCACTCGGTTTGACAGGCAGGACTGGCCCTTGTTGAAGCCATGTTGACTGTCTCAAGCCATGTCCCTATTCTCCATGTGCCTTAGCACAGCTTCTAGCATGGGATCTGTTCCGTGATCTTCCCAGCCACAGAGGTGAGTCTGACAGGTTTGTAGCTCCCAGCCTCTTCCTTGACCTATCAACTTTAAACCTTTTAAAAGGTGGGTTCAATGTTGTCCTTTTTCCAGTCGCCTGGGACTTGACTTGATTGCCATGACTTTTCAAATATCATAGAGTGTGGATTGGCAACTACATCAGCCAATTCCCTTGGATATCTGGGGATGTAACTCATTGGGTCTCATAGACTTGTGTACATTCATGTTCTTCAGGAGATCGTGAACCCAATCTTTACTTAGAGTGGGAGGGGTTTTAGCTCCAGTCCACATCCTGCTGTCTGTCCAGTTAAAAGATATAGGAAGAGAGGTGGCCATTCAAGATTCAGGCAAAACTGTTGTTGAGTACCTCAGCTTCCTCCTCATCCATTGTTATCAGTTTTCCAACATTGTTTATAGGGATACACCTTCTTTGGCCTTCCTTTCCTTGTTAATATATGTATAAAAGCCCTTTTTTTTTAATTCTTTGCATGCCTTTACAAGTTCAGTTCCAGCTTCTTCTTGACTTTCCTTGACCCATCCCTACATAACCTGATTTCATCTCTATGATTTACCAAGTTTACCTGTCTTTGCTTCTACTGCCTGTGCATTTGATTCTCTCCTTTTTGTTTGACTGATATTTTTGTTTAAATATTAAATAAATGGGTATAAGAAATAAAAACAATATTTGTACCCACCAACCTATGAAGGCTTCCCCCTTCCTCTCTTGTCTTTATAGTTCAGTTTGTAGACAACATTATTTTATATTAATTGGATGTTTGGTAACTATATTTCTGAGGCTGACCAGTCAGCTGTTACTGGCTTGACATGTACATTGCTTTTCACTTAAAATTCTCAGTTCTGTGTCTCCATTTCCCAACTTTTCCCAGCACTCAGCCATATTTCATCAACAGAAATCTTAGTCCATATGGAAGTACTTGGACCTTTATTATAATCAAAGATCTCGAATTTGCCAAGAAATTTTCAATTTCAAACCATTCTCCAGACAGATACAGTATCACTCACAAAGATCATGCAAAAGTTCTCTCTTTTCTTTGTAATCAGATAGGTTTTTTAAACATGAAGATAATATTTTGGTGATCAGCACAGAAGTTACAACTGTAGGGACTGTGTGTTACTAATGCTGTTGCAAGTATTATACTGGTTCCACTGAGATTGTCAATGGAGACATGAAACGAGAAATCCTATATGGCCTGCTCAGCTGAATCAGACTGAAAGAAAAAGGAGTGACAGCATGAATATCATATTCACTTTATAGAATGTTCCTTGGGGGAAAAGTAGCAAAGCCAAAAGGAGTTCTTATACAAAAATTGAAATCAAAAAGACTGTTGATGTATGCATGGTCTGCTGATCAGCTAGAACACCATCTAACTCAGAGACTGCTGCGGTTTCTGCCTGAGCAGTTGCAAGAAGAAGCCTGTAAAAGCAGTGGTTGCATTCCTATGACTCTTCTCAGCACTGTCAGGATGTGTGACACTTGTGGCTGAATTTGAATCTGCAGCAGTTGGTCTGACTTGGCTTCTTGATTTATTTGTAGAAAAAGAGTTATGGAGCCATAATATTCTGCATTATGGGAAACTGGTCTGGTTGATATATGTGTTGTCATTGCTGGATAAGTATTTGGGAAGCCACAGAAACAAAACAGATCTTATGATATGTTATGCTTTTT